GACTATGTCATTCAACAGAAGAAAATGGTTGGAAGGATTAATTCCTTGTTGAGTCAGATGCCATGGTATATGGATAATTCTGAGTATACAGGAATGATAAGGAAGGGGTTGGCGAGGTTGTGGGAGAGCGGGATTTATGAAAGTTGGCGAAAAAATGTTGATTGGCATCGCATCATTGAACTTTTGAAGATCAGTGATAAAATTGGTAATATGAGCGGTTTGAATTACTACGGAATTTTTGTGATGAGTGGGAAGGATATAATTACAGAGAATCAATTTTCTAGGGATTTTGCCCCAGTGGAGGTAGATAATTTGAAAATATGCTTCATCATATATAGCGTAGGGATACTTGTGGGGATACTTTGTTATTTGGGGGAAGGTCGCAAAATTATTGGGCGGAGGGTACGTGAGAAGTTCAAATCAGTGTTTCTCCTGTTAAAAATCATTTGCATAAAAGCGTAAAGGAACATCTAGGGAAAAAATCAAAAAATTAATAAAAATGTACAAATGCGCGCTCTACATAACTAGTTAATGCAACATTTTTCGACATATTTGAAACATTCTCACATTTTTGTGCTAGTTCACAAAATTTCCTGGTCAACATTATTTTTTAGCAAATTTGAGTTATACTTTCGAGTTTGTTGCAATGATTAGAGCAGCTCAATGCGTATTAATAATGTAACGAGATTCATATGACTTTTAGAATTTTTTTCATATTGTAGTTCCAACAATTTGCATGTTTATGGATTTTTATCCATTTAATCCATTTTTATGGATTGCTGGGATTATATGTATGAATAAACATTATTTTATTTAGATAGAAACAGTTGTTGGAATTGTTGGAGTCTTAAATGGAACAAGTTCCCGAATTATTATGCAATCTGTAGAATCAACGGTACAAAATCCAATTTTGACACAAAGAAATATGATGCATGGGCTTTATAATAACGCAAATTTGAACACATATACATAGGTTGTAGCATGATAATTTGACCTATCAGTTATGCATCCCTATAAGAGTCAAAGGCAAATCTGTGTACATATTTATATAGATATTTGCATATGACGACATCCTCAACATAACGGTGGAATAAACTTTCGTTTCTCTGAACTTTGATTTTGAAGATGTGTTTGTGTTTCGAATGCTGGCTGAATGTACTTTGGGAAACGTACAGATACATACATAATTTGACATGCTAGTAAAGGTGGAAATTTTTTGCCTCTCGTCCTCCTCTCAAAAAATTTCAACCTCTTACTCTCCTCTTAAATAACCTCCAGTGCAACTTACTTTAGCCCGAGCCAGGTTAAATAATGTATTTATTTTAGGTATTTAAAACCTGACAATAATGAAATTCACAATATGAAGTTTTTATGCTGAAAGTGTCCCCAAAAATCGATCAATATTTATTCAACTGTCAGCTCAACATTCAGTTTATTTACCAAGAATTATCCAAAGTGTTTGATATTTTAAGTAAAATTAACTACTCTGTCTTCATAATTCATTAAGTTATTTATTAGTGCTCAAGGAATTAATATGTTTGTAGGTACACTTAATACGTCATTAGCGCATACCTTTGTACATACATACATACATGTATGTAAGTAGTGGTAAATGCTCCTGCATAGGCTAATATAAATAGATGGCCGAATTCTTAGTTAATTAAGTACATTAGGATAATGATCACTAATACATAAATAATATAAAACAATGAGTGATGAATGACTCAATAAATTATGTCATCAAATACTTACATGCTTTAAATGTGACAAATAGATAAATATACTTAAAAATACTTTATACAATTTTCGGCTCATCAATCAGCAAAATTTTATTAATTGATAATATAAAGTGGATTACAATTGTATGTAAAAGCTTGTGCGTACTTATTATTATGATGGATTAAATACATTGATGTAAAATCTAGATATAAAATTACTTATGCAATGATTTAGTAATAATTAGTAGATTTAGTAATAATTAGTAGATTTAGTAGATTTAGTAATAATTAATGATTTTTGCCCGATGAAGAAATTATGAATGAATATTTAATAAAGCTTGTAGCAATAAATATTTCAAGTAGCAATATAATAATTAATTAGAATGATAATTAAATAATAATAGCATTTTCAACATTTTCAACATTATTTGGTTGCTTGATATGTAAAAACATGTATTTTATGATTTAATAAAGCTTCTAGCATTTGTAATACTAATGCGACAGTTTTTTCTCATTTTTTTGTAGCTTGCATAATTTAAGTTTCAATTTCTTCAATTGGTTATTACATAATATTGCATATAAATATTATATATTTACAAATAAATAAATGTATCTTCAAAAAAAGCTAGATCAAGATATAACCACCCCTATGGGCCTCGAACCCACTACCTCCAACTCAGCATCAACTTGCATAGACCACTCTACCATCAAATCACACTGATGGAGCGTGTACTTGCACACCTTTACTTTGCTCGTTCTCACGTCAAAAAGTAAAACGAGTGTAGATCAACCATCTTTCTGCGTAGCAAATGATGATGGTGACTCGCATCAACTACAACCCGTTCTCTTCCACCTTGAATACTTCATTTAATATAAAATATGTAGTTATTTAACACACAAATATAATTATGCTCAGCAAAATTAGAATAAAAAAACGTATCAATTATTTTGTATAGGAACATTTTTGAGTCATTTTTATACTGAACCTTACAAACCCCAATTTGCATCCGTAACCAAGAATTACTTAGCTTCAATAAAAAGTTATGCAGAATACTCATGGTCATCATCTTCCCGATTTTCGAATTCTTTAACTTCTTGATTTGAATTTTCCACCAATTCTGTGGAACTGGATACAGTAGGAGGCACGTTAGGACTTTGTTCTGTGGAATCTTTTCCCTCACGACGGAAAATTCTCGAGCAACATAAAGTAGTGGACTTGCCACAATCGGATAGAGAATTATAAACGCATTTCTTCCCATATTTACTCGATGATTCCTATTACCGAGATTATTTAAATTTAGTTAATTTCGACTTGGCAATTAACTACACTTATCTTACACACTCAAAATAATTGGGAAATAATATTGTCTCTTGCCGAGGTACTATGCAATTCTACCGAATAATAATAATTGCAGTGACGACATGTCAACATAGGGTAAGAAATTACCAACAGTGCGAATAACATTTTTCTCACCCTTTCACATACATTGCTGGCTTGGCACAATTTGGTATCCCTTGATATTCTACCCTCCGCTGACAAATTATTTCCAAAGCGATAGAATTGCAAAGTACCCATAGTTGGCTACAATCTTATCCCAAAATTATTTTGAGTGGATTACATATCACCTCTTGATCCTCCCCAACTATCCAGAGTGGTTCGATATCCGCCGTACAATAGGGACACTTACTGGCCTTGCTACTAATTTCGACAAAACATCGAGGACAATCTCTCACTTCTGGAGGATTTTCAGAAATTACATATTTTCTAATCAAATCAAATGGCAGAATGACACAAAGATACAGGACCAACCCAACAATGGCAAAGGTCACTATAGCGTCAAGCAATGCACCATGATAGAATTTCGAATTATTAATGGTGAACGTTGACTCCTTAAATTCCGGGATGCCTCCAAATATCCCGAAAACAGGGATGACAAATGCAGACGTAAATACAGCAACGACATGCATAAATGCGTTCCCAATGATATAACCCGCCGCACCTTTAACGACGGAACCGTCTCGGAAAAATTCTTTCAAACCCATTTATATTTTGGGGAAATTTTTGTGTGGAAATTTAATGCGAATTATTTAATGTGTACGGACTAGCGAGGTATGATGTGAAGTTTAACTGGAATGTTTAATTGATATTAAAATTCCACTCCGTATTCCATTCATATTAATGATATCTACAAGATAAAGAAATGATTGACAGCTCATTCTTATTGTGTTCTTCCATTGTGAAGTGTCCCAATATTCAGGCAGAGTTCAGTTGGAATATGTACGAACTGTGGGTCATTTACGGGCAGATTGAACAGAATTGAGATTACATTATGTCCATACTTAGTTGGGATTTGTTTCAGAATTATTTAATATGTATTAAATAAAAAATGGGTTAGTGGAGGAATTGATAACATAATTACGGAGATGTAATACATATGTATGTACGTGTGTTCAGCGTTGGCCAATAAGCAAAAAACGCATGGAATGATGTAATGCTACCATGCGTTGTACAGTTAAAGTTACATAAATATATATAGATACAGTTATCTGTGAGCACGTATTTATAAATACTCCGGTAACGGAGGCCACGTGCTTTCTCAGGAGGAGAGCTTCCGCACATCTAAATCACAGATCTTGTTGCGCTTTGTATGTGTGGTGGCCATAGATGAATATACCATAACGCTAAGACGGTTTGATGCCGTGGCCACATTTTCACCCGCCACACCCCCTCGAATATGTTCAATAAGCCGATTTTGACATGTTTAAAACTCTCACCAAAATTCCAATTTATCTTCTCATAATTTTTATATTTTTGTGACCCCAGATAGTTGTTTTTCATATCCAATAGCAAATTGAACGTTTTTAGAAATTCGAAACATCAAAATTTTAAATTTTAAAATAAATTTACCATCTGCTATTTAATTGAGGATGAATTGTACAATGACGTTATGTTCCGTTAATCACAAATGTATTGACACATGTACATATATTGACGTGATTGAGTGATACATCGACACCGGCGGTGATGATTTGACAAACTTTTGTTTTGCATGTAGTAAATTTAGTTCTACATATTTTGCAACAACTTTTTTGTCTCGTTTATAGGATGCCAATATAGATTCCGAGACAGTATTATACATACACCCGCACGTATGTAAATAGATTAACAAATTTACCCGTGGTTTTCCTATTTGACACAAACCACAATTCCACTTCCCGTTAGATCATACAGAATACAGACAAATTTAGTACAATACAAGTTCCAACAGTCTGTACGAGTAAAGCCTTCATATCAATCCCATAAAAATGATACTTTTCCTAATTTTCGCAATTTCCTTGCAATCCCCCCTCATCTTCTGTCAGGAGACGAAAGAACTCAACTTTTTCAACTGGACGGACCGTACTTCCCCCGAGGACAATTCTACCTGGCGATGGGCCCCACACTGCGACCTTTGGGGGAATGAACTCATCGCCTTCCGGTGCCCGGCGTCCTTCTGCGGCCGAGAATGTCATGCTGCCCCAGCCTGCACACACTTCGCTTGGGAGGATGGAAATGGCGGGACTTGTTGGTTAAAAAAAGGCCCCGTCAATCAAAAACCGCTCTATAAAAATCATAACAGATATTTCTGTGGTTTCATTCCCAATCGGGACACACATTCAGTGGAGGATTATAATTGGACAGATTCCCGAGTTGCCAACACGGGGGTCAAGGTCAGGTGGGCAAGCCACTGCAATATGGCGGGAAACGATTTGGCCGTTCTGAAAACTACCGGGGCAGACAGAGACTCCTGTATTCGCTCGTGTCTCGAAAATAACTTTTGTACCCACTTTGTCACCAGTACCAACGAAGGGGGTACTTGTTGGCTGAAGGGGGGAGCTGTCCCCGACCCCACGCTTACGGAAAGGGTTGTCGCCACTATCTTTTGTGGTTTCCTCCTTCTACAGAGTGGTAACAAGCACGAATTTGGTCCGAGATCGAGAACCTTAAACTGGCAGGAGGGCGGGGATCCGTTAAATGTTAGGTATCGATGGGCCGAAAATTGCGACTTGTGGGGAAGTGATATTAGAAATTTTCTCACAAAGCGGGATAATTGTGGACACGAGTGTTCCCTGCATAAGGATTGTACACATTTTGCATGGTCCAATGCTCTCGGGGGGACGTGCTGGATTAAGAGGGGAACCGTTCCGAATCACTCGATCCGAACGGATTCGGCTTATATTTGTGGTTACGTTACTTTCCGTAAAGGGGAGGAAGTTCAGCGGGATAAGGAGCAAGGTATACTTCAATCGTTTAATGATTTTTAATTTTTTATAATTAATAACAACGAAGGACCTGAGATTTTACTAAATTTAAAAAATTAGGTATTTCGATTTTTTTTACTTAAAATATTTCTCTACATTTGACAATAATCGATGAAGTTTTAAAAAATATGTATGCATTCACTAACATAATTTTGCAATATTTTTGCAAAGGTGGAACTAATAACATCTGGATAATTTGGGTAGTTATCGGTCTACTCGCAGTAACGGGACTATTAAGTGGGACAATTTTTGGTCTTCGACAACGAAAAATTTCTGTAAGCCGGAAGTACAATTTTATTTAAATGCACAATACATAGTTAATTCCCAAACCCATTTTTACAAAAATTTCTCTATAATATATTTCTGCGATGACATGATTTCATATTTCTCCAGGGTAATTATTTAATTCATTTTTTAGCAACTCCTCCGAGGTCTTAATCGCGAAGACATAGACGAATTTTTCCTCGGTCGACCAGAACTCCTCGCCAGAAATACTTCCATGACGAATGAAACTGTCGCCTTCTTGCCGTACGACCGAGCATACGAAGTCGATATTGCGGATATTGAATGTAAGCGGTTTATCGAATCTCTTAAAACACTTAGGAAATAAATTTATTCATATTACCCGGCCTTAATTTGTTCGAGTGGTACAAAAAATTCTGGGAATTTTAACCTTTCATTGTCAAGAAGAATGATTAAATACCACAGAAATTAGTAGATGTTTAGCGAACTCATGAACTTATGTACATCTTATTGTTACTTCAAAGTATGAATATATATGTACAAAGAAACCCCATACGTCGTCGTATAATTATAATTATTATCAAAGTTTGCGAAAATTCTACTCGAATTTGTATTTTCCCTGCAAAAATAGACATTTTTAAAATTGCCGTTTATTTTCCCCAATTTTATCCTGTGACCAAATGATACGTACATACATAATTTGTACATAATTTGCCGTGCCCCAAGTATTGCTTATACATACTTATATAGTTAGCGATGGTTTATGGTCTAGTGACCATTCTGGTTCACACATATGTACCATGTACAATGGAACATAGAAACAATTGGTCCAACGATGGACGATAGAGCAATATTTTGCGAGGTATGACTACTTTTAGCGTAAAACTTAAAATTTACGGATTATATGTACTTACGTCATATGCACGTTATAAATATGTTCACAATTATTTGTCATTACTATCCCAATTATCAATTTGTCAAAATATGAAGTAAACAACATGTTTACTTTGTACATATTTACATATGTATGTATTATAGTGACTCAGAGTCACTGACTCCGCACGGTAACAAATTCCTCCACTATTTCCAAAACCTTTTCTCCATTGCAGATAAAGCAGATCCGATCGGAACGGGGAACTTTTCCGTTGTGTTCCTTGGCCTGATAAAATCTCGTCAACTACCCGTCGCCGTGAAATGTTCGCTCACCACTACGGACGCCGTGCAATTCAAGGCTCTGCTTTTGGAAATCAAAATTATGCTTCATATTGGAAAGCATGAAAATGTCGTGGCTTTAGTCCGCGTCTGCACCGAGTGTATCCAACAACGTAAGAATTTAAAAAAATGTTGAAACAATGAAAATAACGTGGTAAAAAATATTAACAAACGGAGACACGGTGAAGTTATGGTTACAATTTGTCCAGAGTCGAGCGCAATTGAAATTGAAATCGGAATCCCCAAACTGCACTTGGGGTAAGGAATTCATCGACATGCTCCAGTCCAATGGGCGCCTGGAAAAACCCAAAGATGCAAATATCGCAATGTTAGTTATACGTACATAAATACATAAAATATTCACTACGGGTGGATAGCATCATTTGAGGTGAAGCACGTGGTTTTTATTTAAGCGGGAAAAAAGTGCATTGGGTTTGAAGACTTGATAAATTTCTTGTTTATTCTCAAAATGATGCTATTTTAAATATGATGGAGCAATAATTATATATAATTCCACAAATTACAGATACGGCATAATGCAGGCTTGCTGGGAAGGTAATAAATGCAACCGACCTAATTTCACCACACTCCGGGTCCAGTTGGAAAAACTTTTACATGTTGGATAGTCTTAATCTGCATAATTGTCGGAGTGTTTCATTAACCCGAATTACCGGATTTATCTTAATAATTTCCAGAAAATAAAGGATTGTGACGCATATAATGGGATATTTGGTTTTGCCCTCATAAATATTTTCATCCTTGCTGCAAACTGTAATACAAAAGTATGTAAAACCTTCCATGTACACACATGCACTCAAAAAAAATTGTCAAATCATCACCGCCCGTGTCAATGCGAGACTTAACTGCCTTGGTTACAATGTAGATTCCGAGTGGGGATTATTTTGATACCAGTGGTTATAATGGTAAGAACAGACGGTAAAATTTCATTACCACTCGGATTCAACATTGTAACCAAAGCGGTTAAGTCACATATTGATACCGGCGGATACAATTTAATTTGGAGTGTATGAATTTTCCTGGGGTTCAATTATCGTGGCAATGTCAGCCTTTCCCCGTCCACATTTACATATACATATGTATGTATATGACTGATCTCTTATACATATGGACGAATACCTTTAGCTATGTATCTTCACCAGCGTTATCATAGTTATCCACCACCTACATATCTTCAATATTGGTCGGCCGTATTGTGCGAGGGAGTGAGCGTGGTGTAGACAAAGAGTACATATTCCATGGCATGGCTATATATGTAGTACTTACAGAGCAGGTACAGAGAAATACAGAGCAGGTATTGTATAAGAGCCACGTTTGTTCTACTAATGATACCCTGCCCTAAGGGACGGACGAAATCTATCCACCCCTGGACTCAAGGGTGCAAACATTTCTGTAAAATGCACCCGTCCACATCCATGTTCATTGTTATTTTCCACTAAAAGAGAAAGGAAACAGCTCGCCATTTTACGAATTCCTGCCACCAACTGATTTCTTTGCGTAATAAATTTCAAGGAGCAAATCCATACCGTATTTCAGTACACATTTACATAAATTTATAAATATGAGATAATTATTCAATCATAATTAATTGATACAATTAATATAATTCTGATCATTAGCAAGCTAACTACAATCTAGATAAATATATTTCCAAATATATTTCCAGGTTCTCACAATGTTTCCAAATTTGATTAAATCCATATTCAAGAAAGTTCGAGACACCTGGACAATTCAGACCGATGAGGAACACCTTACTCACAATGGAGTCATTCCTGATGACAAGATCCCCCCATCACCCAAAATCCAACCTCCTCTCACCCCTACTTTCTCCATGATAAGGGAAACTCATCCCGGATTTGACCCCCAGCTCGAATACCTACAAAACACCGTCATCACCCCATTCCTAAATCCGTGTACGAGAACGCGGGGCAATTAGGGAGCACAATGACAGAAGCAATGCTCCTCCATGGGACGAATCTTGAGATGATATCACTCCTCGTGAAGGCCACGAGGAATGAAATGTCCATCCAAGGAGGAAACACGAACGTGGGTCTAATTAAAGTTTGCAATCATAACTTGGGTTTGGTTACGGTCGATAATAAATCAATTTCCCAGGTTTTCATAGACTCCATAAATAAAGGGAAGGAGTGCGATTATGCCATTATTTTCTGCCCAAATCTCATCACTTCGTACGTCTGTGAGTACTTTCAAGTCATCTTTAAATTTTAGATATTTCAACCAACTACACTTTTTAGTAATAAATACCTGAATAATTTTGTAGCCTACATTCTCAGCCATTTTAGCGATAGACTGGCTAAAATGCCAGCAGGTAAATTTCTCCTCGTGATTGTCAGTAATGACAAAAATGCGTCTTTCTTCCCGTATGGCTCCAATGGGAGGTTGAAACGACTTCACGTCCCGGATCGATTCTCTACCCTGCAGAGGAGAAAGGTTCTGCTCAAGTGCACCACGAAATGGGGGGCAAACCAACCAAGTGACGCCCTCTTGGGGATCGTGGCAGAAAAAATGGTCGCACTTCCTACAGACGAGGCCGGGCAGGACGCACAGTTGAGAACTTTCTGCCAAAAAGTTTACAGTTTGGGGCTTGCTAGACTAAAGGAGAGGAACGGTTTGACTGTAAGGGATACCATTAGTGGGGAAGATATCCACGTGGGGGTGCAAGATTGGCGGGAAGATTTTAATAAGATGGTGGGTAGTGGGGAAAAGTGGGAGGAGGAGGATTCAGCCGTCCAGCAGGATAAGGAGGAGATAGCGATGCAAAGTAACGAGGAGTGGTTGGAAATACCGGAGCTAGAAAAGTCTTCAGGTTTGACGAAGGAGGAAAATTTATCCGAATTATTTACGAATGTGTATGGAAATTGTGGCAGTGTCCACATCACCAGACGAGCAAAATGACTTGGTGACGATTACTGTTAAAGTACCTTCTGGTAAAAAATGATCAATTGTTTTGGCTGAATTCTGTAAATTTAGGTTAGAAAAAGAAATAAATCTGTAGAGTATGTAAAATGGCTTAACTGCTCTAAAACTTATTATTTTTTCATATCAGTGGTATTACCACTAGCATCTGCAAAACCTGAGTGTTGGTGATATTTATGAACGGTGATTACATACACAAAGTAAGCAAGTTTTGATAAATTGCTTTTCCGCCCGAGCTTATGTAGCGACGAAAATAAGGAAACTTTTCTGGTATAATAATTCATCAGAAACTATTATGTGTAGTTCAGTAACGTGTCGGTGTATTCATTCTTGAACTAAAGTCGAATCTACAATCGAATCTACAGGAAGTTATGCAGAGGTAATTTTCCTTACACTCATGAATTAGTTACTAGGGAACCGTCTGACCTGTCAATGCCAGCACGGGTCCCACCTATACCAAAATACGCACAAGATATGACTTGTCCAAGGAACTGGACAAATTCCCGTGTAAAATTCATTTTTCGTCAAGTTGTCACCTTTATGACTTTTAAGTGATGTAATTTAACTGTTGAGGATGATAAGTATGACGTGGTGACTTCTCAAGCTAATTGGAAACAGATTCAGACAACTACTTAAAAGAAATTGTTCTACATATATGCATATGTAGTAAATTTTATCTACATACATATGTAATGATACCTGAAATCTACAGTCGTATGTTTTTTTTACCCAGATTAGAAAGATACATGTATATATGTATAGTGATTTGTCTTCCGTATCGAAATTTTTCATTTCACATTTGAAAATTTTTTGAGATTTATGTAGTTATTTCAGTTGGTAACGTTTTCTTAGAAGTGTATAGAGATTAGCTCTCCAACATATGTAATTAAGTATAATTTATTTGAAATTTTAAATGTATGTATTTAGCATTGCAATAATTTATTCCTTAGAAGATCTACCTTAGGATTATTAAGAATTTAATATTCTTTTTCACTTTTACAAAATTACGATTAAAGAATTATATGTACATATTTATGTAGGAGTGACAATCCGATCCGACAAAATCCGATTAGGGCGGACCGAATTGCAGACTTATTTTGATCCTAAGGCAATCCGATCGGACCGGATTAACCGGCAATTCCGATTAGATCAATACGATAAGATCGGAGTAACCGACGGTTAATCAAATTTAGCAGATTGTTTTCCAATTCGATACCATCCGAAATCCGACGGATCAATCCGGATCGCGTTTGAATTCTATTATGATAGGCACTTATTTTTCCGAAAATGGCAACCAAATATTTGTTGTCACACACTATTTATTCATCAATTATGGGCAACTGGTAAGATTACTTTTTTACTTTGAAACAAACTAGATATTCTGAAAGTTTGGCACTATGGGACATTAATTCGGGACATTAGTTAAATACTGCGTAAAAATGTACTAGTACTTAACCATTGAAGAAGCTCAGGGGGAAAGACCAACTGAAGTTTTCACTATAAAAGAGTGACTATTTTAAAGAAGCCGCATAACAATAAGCTGTAATAAAATAAACGCTTTCCAAAATTATTGCAAAGTCATACTGATAAAATTACGATCTAATCATATTTCCAATCTTAACCCAGATAACTCAGGAAATATCAACAACCATAAAGTTTCCAATTCTGAAGGAAATATGAAACCCATAATTCACGGATTTTCCAACTTTTTCAAAATATTTTCATACATATCTTATCACCTAAATTTCTTTCCTTGGAAAATTGAAGTATCTGAAAACTCTGAAAGTAACAATGTACAATATAAATTCACATCAAACTTTACAAAATCCCGAAATGTAAAATATACTTAAAAATCACTTAAAATGTAGAAATCATAACCAATTCAATTTTTTTAAATTTAGGGTACTTGTCGCCTAATATTTTTCATTGCCGTATTGAAATGTGGAAGATCCGTTCTTAACGAAACGTATCAAAAATTAGGAGCAAATCCTGTAAATTATGTATAGCTTTTGCGAAGTCTCGCAGCTTTATGGAACTATTTGACCATATATCGCTTCTTGTTGTGCAAATGTCACCACGCTATACCTCAAATAGTTCAACACTGTTATCAAATGGAAATCAAGGATGAGTGGAAATTGCATGGAAAACTTAAAATGGTAAATATTACTCTTCATAGATACGCTCTAAATAAAATTGTATCCCCCGGTGTCAATATATATGACTTAACCGCCTTGGTTACATTGTTGATTCCGAGTGGGTATGAAATTTTACCCTCGGGTCATGCCATTATAACCACTGGTATCGAAATAATACCCGCTCGGAATCAACACTGTAAACAGAACGGTTAAGTCACATATTGACACAGGCGGAGATTATTCGACCAATTTTTGTTTTGAGTGTATAAATACATATATTTAAATTTCAAGCTTATCAAACAATATTATTATTTTTTCGCGAAAACAGATTTGCTCGCCAAGACTGATTTTTTTTCTTGATATTTATTCACCTCATGAGATTCTTCATCGACTTTTTCTTTTTCTTTGCCCAATGCAAAAACGAAGTTCTTTGACACTCAATTTTATCAAGTTGTCATAATTTGGAGAGGAATGACACCCTCAATCTTAGAAACTCTGAATGCAACAAGTACATATGACAGCAACGTACTGGATGTTATGCTCGGGTCGATCGATATTTTTTGCACGTATTGTCACCTCCTCGCCACATACTTTTGCGATGATCTCATTCTTGCTGGCGTCGTAACACGGAGGGTTCCATGCAATAATTTTCACAAACTGTGGATCACGACATGGTACATATATATAAATACCCGTATGAAAATAGCCTAGCGAAAATTGGCTGGATTTGGTTCTCCAGATGAGCTGTGCATAATTGTGCAGAATCACGGATACAATCTATAAATGAAGCTTGTGCAGAATTCTGTACAAATTCGAAAAATCCTGTAGAAATATGCATGAAATTCTTTGCATTAAATCCAGCCAAATTTCATACGGATACATATTTAGTATTGATTTTCCACCCAAGTTTAGTATTGTTCCTAATTATTTTAATAAATTATTACAGAATTCTATCCATCAAAACTCAAATTCGCCAAAAACATTAGAAATTTTGGAAATGTACCAAGACCTTAAAATCCTTTCGCACCATTTGAACTCTCCTCGGTTTTGTTCCCCTTCTTTAAAGATTGCTTGTTTTACTATGCAACACATCTCATGGATATTGTCTCGTACGAGGCCGTCTCTACTAAACTTTTTCTCCCCGTTTCAATATTTATTGTAGGATTGATTGTGCTTTTAGCGGCGGATACATGTGAAAAGGTTAACGAGATGGGAAGGTTGGTACCGTCATCAAAATTCACGAATATTGGGCGTACGCACGATTATCTTGACAAATCTCGAAAATTGAGCGTAGCAAGATATGTAACTTGCGAAGTCTACGAAATTTCGCAAAACCTTTGTTAAAATCCATGTGATTTTTGTCCGCAAATTTACCCACAAACAGAACAGGTTTTTATTTAGTAAAACTTCGAAAACTCATCCACTCCATCATAAACGAACCTCAAAACCATGCGAACTAAATCAAATTGACGACAGGACTGATTTTCGAAAAAGGATACTGCCAATCCGCTCAGGACACAAATTTTACGAACTTCACAAATTTGCTAAATGATTTGCGATGCTAAATAAGATGTTGTCGTTAGTACGCCCATTATACAATTAATAAAAGGAAACTATATACTTTAATTTTATTTGAGGTGGCTGACACAACCAAGTGTTCAAAAAGCACTGAAATCCGATCCGTTAAGATTTGTAAGTTTGACCCAAGAGCTCGCAACTTGTCCCGTAGCGTTTCGTGGGGGAGACATGTTTACGTTCAATTACACCCTCATATTTTCGGTATATCATAATTTTTATATTTTACTGTACTTGTTGTGATGTCAATTGTGCATAAATTTTCTTAAGTATGTATGTATGTATGATTAATTAAATATTTAATTAAGAATTAAATTTTACACAGGTGATGAACACAATCTTTACAATTTTCATCATATGTGTACAATTCCAATTTTCAGAAAATAGAAGCCAGGACACCAGTTCCGAAAATTCATCCTGAACTTTGGTTGTATGAACGATTGACAACAATTTAGTATTTGAACAAGAGGAAAGGTGACACTCATAGGTGACACTCACACTCATAAATACTCCACCATCCCGAGTTGAGATTGAATTTCGCTGGGACTACCAACCGAGTTGAACATGAGTGAAAGTGTCGGTTTTTTCGTGATCCAGAATGGGAATTTGCTAGTAATATTTAAATATTTTCTAATATTTATTTATAAAGCAATTTATATCTGCAAGTACATATGCATAATGATTTTTTAAATAATATTAGAAGACTCCAAAAATTTCGTGGTTCTGTGTCTTTAAAACAATTACGTACCAAACTTATATCAACAACAGAGTAATTAGCAAATCCACAGCTTTCTTCCAAATTACGAGTGAAGTCGACTTATCGAAGAACTTGCCGTCTCCCAACGTTAATTTCGAGGGGGAGCAAAATTTGGCAAATCTTTTAGTCCATTTCGACAATTTCAAGGCTTTCAAGGAGTCCAAAAATTTAACAGATTTGATAAATGGTTTAGCTATTACTTTCATATGACATACACTAAGTATAAATAATCCTGTCGCTACTAGGAAAAATAAAAACAGAACTGGGATTGGAATCTGTATATCCGCCGAAGTGATCAAAATATACAGAGCGAAACTTTCGCATATCGTTACTTTACCGATAATACCGGACATGGCGGGCTGTCGGAATCCCGAATTGTGCATGGTTGACAACAATTGTAAACACCGATATTCAACGACCATGTTACACATGAGTGGTCTGTCGGCACCTAAATTCCGGCAAAATACGACGACCCTTATTAAATTAATGAATATAGATGCATTTAATCATAACACTATTTAATACAAATCTTCAAACCTTTTCAGAACTTTTAAAATTATCAGTTTCACTTCAACAGGATACAATAATAACACGCCGACCACAAGGCATGTCGCGTTTGTCATTG